AAGTCATATTGTAACATTGTGATGGGACATTGAAGCAATATAATGGCACATGGGGCAATAGTGTTGGCACATTGGAGCATTGATTTTTACAGTGGAGCATTGTGATGTCACATTGGAACATTGCATAGTCAAGTTGTAACATTGTCATGACATATTGGAGCAATATAATGTCACATGCGGCCTTAGTGTTGAGAATTTGGAGCATTGTAATGGCACATTGGAGCATTGTGATTTCACAGTGGAGCACTGTGATGACACCCGGAAGCATTGTGATGACACAATCAAAGATTGTGAAATCAAATGTAACATTGTGATGGCACAATGGAGCATTGTGATGTCAAAATGTAACATTGTGAAGATATATTGCAACATTGTGATGCCAAATTGGGGCAATATAATAGCACCTGGGGCCATAGTGTTGGCATATTGGAGCCATGTCATGTCAAATCCGAGCATTGAGATGTCACAAGGGAACATTCAGAAGTCAAAATGTAACATTGTTGGCATATTGGAACAATATACTAGCACATGGACCTACGGTGTTGGCAGATTAAAGCATTGCGATGTCATATTACAACATTGTGATGACAACGTCTAACAATATAATGCACGTGGGGCAATAGTGCTGGACATTGGAGCTTTGTGACGTCACAATTGATTATTGTGATATCACAGTGGAACACTGAGAAGTCATATTTTAAGACTGTGATGGGACATTGGAGCAATATAATGGGACATGAGATGACAGTGTTGGCACATTGGCGCATTGTGATGACATAATTGAGCATTGTAATTTCACATTGTGTCGAACGCCCCCCAAGCCCACCAGACTGCGGTCTTCAACAAAGAAGACACTCAGGCATAAGTATGAAGTTATATGAGGAATTTATTAAAGGGACAACAGGTACAGAGAGGAGAGCACTCTCTAGAAGGAAAAATCAGGAAGAATCTACTGAGGGGTCCCACAGGTCTTTTTTATCCAACCCGGAGTTTGGGTCACCCAGGTGAATCAGAAACAAAAGGGTTACTAAGAGACAGCACGAAGGCTGAACTGAAACTAACTTTCTAGAAGACTTGATTTATCATCCAGGTACAGCCTGCCAGCTCTGACCGCTGAAGCAGAGAGCTCAGAAGCTCTTAAAGTGACACTTTCTTAATTTCCAATGCTTATGGCAAGCATGGCTCCCAACATATCCCCCTTTCTTTTTATATTAGTTAAAGATGAAGTACATGCCAATACTTGGGATGGAATGACCGTGCCTGTCTTAGGTCGTCCTCCGCCAGAGTGAAAGCCATTGGGGGCGGCCGGCGTCCCGCTTTCCTCTGAGAGAATCTGACCCATCTCTGGCTAACCAGCCTCCTGAAAGCTCCCAGTGAAGGGCCACGGCCTTGGGGAAGTAATGGGATATAAATGCCACTGAGGCACAGTGTCACGGGGCGGGTCCAGAGTCTGGAACTGACAAATGGCCAAATCATGTAGCATGTAAATTGTAACTTTTGAATTTGGTGTTTAGATGTCGAATTTGATGTCAAATTCGCTACCCGTGATACCTATGCAACTGAAGGTTAGGCAGAGCCTAAGTCCCCCCTCCAAATGAATAAAAAGGACCCAACAGCCCACGGGGTCAAAGGGAGGACAGAAGGGAAGTAGAACAACACACATGAGTATAACAATGGTGCACAAATCACGTGGGATACACAAGCAATCAAATAGGGCAGGGAAGCATCATAGCCAAGTCCAGAGATGGAGAATGGTGGGCACCAGGCGGTGGAAACAGTCCAAAAGTGCAGGCACAAAAGAGCAGGATGATGACATTAGTCGGTGCAATGTGATGACACAGGTGGTGAGGAGGCCGAAGATTCAGCCAAGCGAACGAGGCGTTCAGGTACCCAACGTGCATTGTCAGCATCCTGTGGAAAAACACAAACATGCCCTCTTCCCCAAATGAGGACAGGATCTGGGTCATGCCACAGACCTGTACAAGGATCCTTCCATTTGACTTGGGCATAATCTGTAGAAGAAGAAGAATGCCACAACCTACCAGCAGCAGAGCGACCTTGGGCATCTAAGGCCAAGAAATTTAAAACAAAGAGAGCGTGATTTAATAAATTTTGTGGTGACTGGGTATACAGTTGACTATGTTTAATCTTTTCCAATTGTAACTTGAGAGTACCATGAGCACGTTCAATAATGCCCTGACCTTGTGGATTATATGGAATTCCTGTTTTATGTTGGATAGCAAATTGTACACAAAAATCCTGAAATGAGTGAGAAGTATACCCAGAACCATTATCAGTTTTCAAGATGTTGGGAGTTCCAAGTGCTGAAAAGCAACGAATGCAGTGAGTGATGACGTGTTTAGTCCTTTCACCAGTAAGAGCAGAAGCAAAAAGAAAACCAGAAAAGGTATGTATAGTAACATGAACATATTTTAACCATCCAAACTCAGGAACGTGAGTAACATCCATCTGCCATAATTGATTAGGAATAAGCCCACGAGGGTTAATCCCTACATGTGGGACTTGTGAAATAGTAGGACATTGAGGACAACGGCAAAGGATATCCCGAGCAGCTTCTCTTGAGATACCAAATTGTAGCTGCAAACTATTACTCTTTTGCTGATGTTTTAGCATGGGCTTGCTGAGCAAGCTCCATATCAGAGAAAGCTACAATTTTAGTATGAAGATCAGCCAAATCATTTCCTTGAGTGAGGGATCCAGGTAGACTAGTATGTGCTCGAATATGAGCCACAAAGAATTTCCTTGTCCTGGCAATAATAGAAGACTCTATTTGAGAAAATAATTCATGTACCATACTGTTAGAAGTTTTTATAACAGGAACAGTTTCCAACATACACAAGGCAGAATATTCATAAA